ACAACAATTGATCGTACAGGCAATACAAACATATCAGGAACATATGCAAGAAGGCTATAAGAGAATACAGGTTTCAGTACTAGATAAAGCTTATGTATAAATTTGTCTCCAATCCGAAGAGCTTATTCCATTATGCAGCCTCTCTTCGTCAAGCCAAAACTGGAGTTTCCCAACTGCTAGGTCTTAATAGCCCGACCAATAACGACGGCGACGCCGCCAACCTCTTGGCTGAACAATACTCTCGGTTATTTCAACCGACCCACATCAACTATACTGAGGACAGCTTCATTGGCAACTGCACAGGACTTTCCGTAGTGAACCAGGGCTCTGACTTGGTGTTTCGGAAACTGCAGCATCTAAGAAAAGACATTTCTCCTGGTCCAGATATGGTTCATTCTGCTATACTAAGGGAAGCAGCCTCAATCCTGGCAACGCCGCTTAGCGTGATGTTCTCACATTCGCTAAGCTGAAGCACACTACCGGAAAATTGGAAGTTGGCTCACATCACACCAATTTTCAGAGGGGGTCACGGCAGCGAACCTTCAAGTTACCGACCGGTGGCTCTTCTCTCTATAACTTCAAAAACCATGGAGTCCCTGATATGCGGTGATATGCATGACTATTTACTGCCCTTAAACTTCTCACCCCTACAGCATGGTTTCAGAAAGGGTGACTCTTGTACAACCAACCTGCTGACTGCGGTGGACAGATGGACAAGCATCCTCGATCGCAAGGGAAAGGTTGGTGTCATTTACCTACATTTCTCAAAAGCTTTTGATAGGGTTAACCATACAAGTCTTATCAACAAGCTCAAACGATTGGGTATCAGACCACCTCTAATTGATTGTCTAATTTCATATCTGAAAAAATCGACATTTTAAGGTCAGGGTTAACTTCACTTTATCTCAGGCTATGGAATGTCCTAGTGAGTTCCCCCAGGGCTCAGTACTAGGACCTCTTCTCTTCTTGATTTATATAAATGGTCTTACACAACAGGAATTGTCAGACATTGCTTTTTGCTGATGACCTGAAACTTTGGAGAGAGATAAGCAACCAAAGGTATACACAGGCACTTCAGGAGGATCTGACTCGACTTCATAGTTCGGCAGACGATTAGGGACTTACCTTCAACACTTCTAAGTGTAAAGTATTCCATCTGCGACATGTCGCAGACTACAGTTACAACTTAAGAAACTCCTCTCAATTGGTATTTCAAGTCGGAAAAGATTTAGGAGTCCTGGTGCTCTACGATTTGAAGTCTTATGCTAACTGTGACAAAAATGCCTTTCGAGAAAACTTTGCACTGGTAACATTGAAGCGCATTTTTGGTCAGTTTGACCGAAGAACTTTCCAGTTAATCTTCAACAGTTTTATCCGTCCTCATTTAGAGTACGAAACATAGTATTTCCTCCCTCACTCCTAAAGGATAAGAAAACTCTGGAGCATATCCAACGGTGAGCCACGAAATCAGTCCATGGACTCAAATTCCAACCATATGAAGAGCGCCTCTAATCACTTAACTTTTACCCATTAGAGGTGACCTCATGGCTCACAGTATCCTCAAGACTTCTGGACATCCTCTTAAACACCTACTTAAGCTTAGTCCCAATACTAACCTAAGGGGTAATACCCAGAAATTGGAGACATAACACAGCAGAACGGACTGTAGACACAAGTTCTACTCCTTAAAAGTTGTCAAATGCTTGAATTCGCTGCCGGACGAGCTAGTCCAAGCGACTTCCTAGGAGTCCTTCAAACGGGAAGTTTAGTCCTAACGTGATTTGCATTTATCAAACTTTTGCTGTGTTCTTACGCAACAAAAGTACCATTTCAGTTCTAAAGAATCTATCCTGAGCTATACGTTCGATAGATTATTTTGTTTTAGTTTCACCATATTTAATAGTTACCTGTGGTTTTGCCCCAGCTTACTAATCTTTTTTTTTGTTTTTCACGTATAGACTAGTTTCAGTTTATACCACTCGTTTTATCCATTTTTGTCCGTTTTCAGTGTGCTTTTTAGTGTTTTTTAAAGGTCTTAGGCTTTTCCAAGCATCTATAACATAGTTTGCCTCAACATAATCATGAAAAACTCATGCAAACGTCCGGGATGCCGTTTTGCTGTTACAACTGGCATGCAGTGCGACAACTGCAAAGGTTGGTTCCACGAAGCATGCACAGATCTGACAGCAACTGATTACAACAGACTCAGCAAGTCAGACCAAAAGTGGGTATGTGTCGCGTACAGCACGGACGCTGTAGTCTTGCTGAGTAACATCATTGTCCTACAGACAGGTCTTCGGAATAAGTTGTCAGTTAACTTGGATAACGATTAAAAAAACTGGTAGACAAACAAGAGCGTGCGACGGATACAAAAACAGGAATGTCGACAGGTATACCATCGATGGATCATCCATCAACACTAATGATCACGTGTCGAGGCTCAGCACCATCATTACGTCGACGGTATTAGACTCCCTAAGCAAACTCGGGTCTCCCAGCTCAGGGTCCCTGAACACAACAGTGGTTCCCAAGAACCCTGTAGGCGATTCGACCCACGTTAAGAGAGCCCAAAAGAACCAGGCATCACCGCCTAAGCCGAGCAACCCAAGTGTTGCTGCACGGAAAATAACTGGTGATTTAGTCGCACAGTCTACCCCCAAGACTGTTCGTCCGGTCAATAAAGAGCCCAAGATTCATAAACGCACACTGACCTCCAAAAAACAAGTTATTAAACCTGAACCCATCGTGAAACCTGGTAAATTAACAACAGTTCGTGACGATTCTCTCATTATCATGAACCTCGTCGACAATCCTGACCTTCCTCTCAGTCTGCAGGATAAAAACGACAGGATGCTGTGGGGTGAATTGAACAAAAAGCTCGAACTTCCTAGAATAGAGCCTTTGACGGTCACCCGGCTCACTCGAGGAAAGGATTCTAAGCATCTAAATCACCCGAGGCTTCTCCGAGTAACACTTAAGAATGCTACCGACGTAGAGGACGTCTTGCTAGCAAGTCACTTACTGAAATCAGATGGTAACGTAAGAATATTGCCCGACATACCGTACTCTGAGCGCAATATCATACGAAACGTCCCTAAAGAATCTCGTGAGAAGTTCTTCCGCGGAAGAAATATAATTGTCCAAGGTATACCGGAAAATGCAGACCCTACTCAATCAAATTCTGACATCAGGGAATGGAAATTCATCAAACAGTCCTTGAGGCTCAAACACATACTGACTCAGCACGTGACGAGACTAGCCAAGAAGGACGGTGATCTTAGACCCCGTCTAATGAAGATAACCTTCCCATCTTCCCACATGGCGGCTGCAGTTCTGGAAGCATTTCGTGCTAATAGACGTCGATTGCCACCTGGAATCCACATGCACCCGGATAGGCCATACGAAGTCAGGACCAAGAACAAAGGCAAGCTGGAGCTGACCATTCCACTTGTGGACTGTCTAAACGATAAAAAAACGTGTAAAGGACAGGGCCTACCACCTCGGCAAACCTCATATAGGTGGGCTACCTGTCCATTCACATAAGGTTCATACAGAAAAACAGGACGAAGCTCATGCGTTCCAAATTGAAAGCATAAACTGCTTATATATGAACGCCGCGAGTTTACCAAACAAACTGGATGAACTACGTGAACTTAGCAACGCTAACAAGGCCCATCTAATAGGAATATCTGAAACCTGTATATCTTCTCAGTTCTCGGACCAATAGTTAGCATTACCTGGGATGACTTTGTTCCGCAACGACAGAAAAATAGGAATTGGGGGCGGAGTAGCCATATACATAAGCTCTTGCTTGGAGGTGCACCAGGTTCACAACCTCGAGTTTAACAATCTTGAGGAATCCATATGGTGCTCTGTAAGGTTGTCTAGTACTTCCAGGTGTCTAGTCGGAGTCATTTACAGGAAGCCAACTGCCGACACCGAGTACGATAGTCGTATGCTGGAAGGACTATCCCGCTCTATCCGTCTCGGTTTCACACACATCCTGATTCTAGGGGACTTTAATCTCCCTAGAGTCAACTTCGCGGAACACACGTACACTGGAGGCGACAACTCAACTGAAGCTCGGTTCTTCAACCTCATCGATAACTTGGGCTTATATGAAAATGTGAGGTCGGCAACTCGTTGGAGAAACAGTCAGACACCATCGCGCTTAGACTGTGTATTCACTAACGAAGAATTCCTAGTCGACAACCTCTCAATCCTGGCTCCTCTGGGAAAAAGCGATCATGCCGTCATAGCCTTCAGTTTTGTCATCAAAACTAAGCTAAGGTATCCCAACAATAATTTGCGATGGAATTTTAAACGGCTGAATGTGCGAGCTCTACATGACCATCTACAACAGGTGGTTTGGGATGTTCACCCTCAAATCGATGTGGATGGTCATTGGGACTTCTTGCTGCACACGCTCTTATGTGCTACAGACCATTCAGTTCCTCAAACGGTTCCCAAAAGCTGCAAGCCACCTACAGTAATCAAGAACCGTACTCATCATCTGCTTCTGCCGGCCGAGCTAGTCCAAGCGACTTCTCAGGAGTCCTTCAAGAGGCAACTTGACCTATTCTTAAGGACCAAGGACAGCATCGCACTATGATTTACCAATTTCTTTTCCTCTTTTATTGTTAACATACCTAGGTTCCTGCCTGGAGGATTTGGTGATCCCCTGCTACTAGACACGGAAGCCTGTTAAGCAAAAGCTTCTTCTATTCCGTCCACAACCATTTGAACCATTTGAACCATTTGAACCATTTGAAGGGGCAACTTTATCTATTCTTAAGGCCTAAGGATAGTTTCATACTATGATTTACCAATTTCTTTTTCCTCTTTCATCGTTAACATACTTAGGTTCCTGCCTGGAGTTATTCGTGATCTTCTGCTACTAGACACGGAAGCCTGTTAAGCAAAAGCTCCTTCTATTCCGACCACAACCATTTGAACCGTTTGAAGGCGGCTGTTCCAGATTTAGGCGTTACGTTAGAAATATGGTGTTAGACTATGATTCAGATGTATCTGACGGAAGTGCTCCAATTGGTAAGCTGTATTTCTTTCGACGAGTAAAATAAAAAACAGGAGAAGAAAGGGATGAATCTTCAGACCTCAACTCGTCTAGTGATGGTGAGGAACGAAATCGTGTAACACAGAGGAATATTTTTGGAGATGATACTGGTTAGATAATCTTGTTATATATCTACATTTAATTTTAAAGATAGTGATAAAGAAATACAACCAAGGCATAAACAACCACGTTTTAAAGAAGTGAGACTCATAATGTGTATATCAATCTATCCATTGTAGCTCATATTTTTTTTCCATATAGATGAATTAATGTTTAGGGAGACGTCAAGAGATTTGACTAAGCATTTATGGTGGAATTTATAGCGATCGATCTATGCTTATTTCTTGGATCTGTCGAAGGATACACCACTGTCAACATCTTTTCACTCATTATTTTGTTTCTGCGAAACATTCTCACTAATTTCAACATCTCGAGACACATCTAGGACATTCTAATTCTTGTAAACGTACATTTAAAGTCTTCCAGTATTAGTTCGTTCGTATTGATTGCATCAATCTTCCCACTGATGTTGGGGAGTACGATTGATCAGTATTTAATCAGTTAGGAAGATTAAAAAAAAGAACGAAAATGAAGTTGTGGGATCAGTGATCAGAATAAATATGCTTAATATGGGTCGAGAAGGATAATGTGATTACGATCCCTGCACCCAGCGGAATACAAATGAATAATCCTTCTTAGTGTCGAAATGATTAGTATTCGGTGTTAATTGGAATCTGTTTATAGATCAATTAAAATTACGAGGCCAGTAATACAAATAAATACATATAACATAGAGTGAGAGTAGATTCAGTGTTTACTTAAATATTGCTCAATGAATCATTTAATATGGATTAAGTAAGAAATGGTAAAGTGGATCGAGTGTTAATTAGATTCCCCACCTGTTCACAAGATTAATAATAATAAAAATGAGGAAAGATGTGTGAATAGTAGTATTAATCATAAATGAATTAGGCAAACGCAAGTTATAAAACTATGGAGAGGGGAGTTCTCCTTCATTAGTCCATTCGAGAATCATACCTCCTTCAGGAATTAGTTTTAAAAGGTGTGCAATTTTAAAAACCATCTCTTCACCATCTAAACTGTATTACCAATCATTCAAACTACAAACAGGCTTACTACGTTTTGAAGACTACGCTTGTAACTAAAACATATTTAATTGACATTCACACTAACCTCAGCATCTTAAGGGTACACTTAGGACACTATAATTCCTCTAAACGTGCATTTAAAGTCCTCCAGTTTTAAAATTACTATCTTTCAGTGATGTGCGTCTCATTATTGCTGTAAAAAATGCATGGCTAGTATTGTTTCATTCCTATCCGAATAACCATTCGTGGACGTGTGGGATGTACTAGACAGCAAAATTAATAAACACTGTATCATTCCTTATGTAGCTAGTGCCCTGGTCCTGACAGGTTTACCCCTGAGATTTTTAAGAATGGCAGTCCAGTTTTAGCAGCGAGGTTGACTGAGGTCTTAGGTAGAATCTGGGAACTGGACGTAATCCCATCTGACTGGTCTCAATCACTGATTGTGCCAGTCTATAAGAAAGGACAAAAGTCCTCTTGTGACAGTCACAGAGGAATCAGTTTGACTAATATAGTGTCTAAAATATTAGCTTCAATAATACTTCGACGCTTAACTAAGGCTCGTGAAGAGCAGACTAGAGAAAACCAGGCCGGTTTTCGACCTGGACGTGGTTGTATAGACCAGATATTCACACTACGTCAAGTTCTAGAACACAGACACACATTCAGACGCCCCACAATGGTAGTATTTCTCGACCTTAAGGCGGCATTCGACTCTGTTGATCGTGAGGTTCTATGGCAGTGTTTGTCACTGAAAGGAGTACCAAAGAAGTACATTAACCTTGTGAAGGCTCTCTACTCGAACACAACTGGTCGAGTGAGAACTTATGGCGAACTGTCATCAGAATTGATTACCTCAAGTGGTGTTCGTCAGGGCTGCCCACTATCTCCATTCTTGTTCAACTTTGTCGTCGACGTACTTTTAGAGATAACACTTTCCTCGTCTAGATTTCCAAGGGTTGAACTTCTACCGGGAGGTTCACTTGTTGACTTAGAATATGCAGATGACATAGTTTTATTTGGTGAAAACGCTGACACAATGCAGAGTCTTCTGACCACTCTAAGCAACAATGCAAGCATGTTCGGGATGCGATTCTCCCTCTCGAAATGCAAAATATTACGTCAGGATTGGGTCACATCGACACCCGAACTAGTGATAGGGAGTGAAGTAATTGAGCGTGTCGATCGCTTCACTCATCTTGGAAGTCTCATCAGCCCTTGTGGTCTGGTGTGTGACGAAATCTCAGCACGGATACAGAAGGCTCGATTAGCTTTTGCCAATTTGCGTCATTTATGGCGTAGACGAGATATCCGTCTATCAACCAAAGGACGGGTTTACTGCGCAGCAGTTCGTTCCGTCCTACTTTATGGCAGTGAAACATGGCTGGTAAGAGTAGAGGATATCCGTAGGTTACTAGTATTCGATCATAGGTGTCTTCGAAACATTGCTCGTATATCCTGGGACCATCGAGTAAGTAACACAATTGTTAGGAAACGGGTACTAGGTAAAGATGGCAAATCAATTGATGAAGTAGTAAAACTTGATCAGTTGAGATGGCTGGGACACGTGTTACGTACGCCCAACGACCGACTGCCTCGACGTGCTATGTTCAGTGTTATAGGAGTAGGTTGGAAGAAAGCTAGAGGCGGCCAGACCAAAACATGGCACAAGTCCATGAAGTCACTGACAAGTGAACTGAGTCATGTTGATAGGTGTAGACTACCTGGTTGGGGACGGCGAGATGATGGCATCCGGTGGTTAGAGACCCTGAATGACATGGCTCAAAATCGTTTGCAATGGCGCAGGTGCATACACTCTTTGTGTTCTTCCAAATTTTGATCTCTTTATTCGTCCTTGTCTCTTTTTCTTCTCTTCCCAAATTTATTTCACTGTATTATACTCTTTGAATAACATCTCCAAACACTAATTTTCCCGATTACTGCTTATACTCTTATTACCTCTACCACCACGGGATTTGAATCGACCACTGCATCTCTGTGCTAATGTGGTGTGGCAACTCGAACTGATGTACGTACCTACGAAGTTCTACGTTTTTACTGACTGAGCTAGCGCCTTTACATTTACTAAATTATTAACGCTACATATAATTCCAACACTACTTAATAGGTCAGCTTCTTTTATACGTATCTGTATCATAAAATAACACCTATTTGTCACTGAGCTTATTTTATATTTGTTTGATACAGAGGGGCATTATCCCAGTAATTGAAGTATTCCTTAAGCTAAATGTTCGAACGCCATTCCATCGACTTGGATTTGAGCACTAATCTCTATGAAAGTTTATATTAATAATTGGTAATTGAATAATGGTAGTTACTGTCAGCCTTAATCCTTAAAACTAAACATGAATATACTACGGGGGTATAGCTACTGATCTCTTCAAAGTATAGCTTGGGTTCGATAAGACCAACCATAAGCGTAAAACCGTAAGCTAGTTTACAGGTATTCTAATGTACATGTAATTTTACAACCCATATATTACACATTTTTAGCTAAGGTTTCCGTTAGTAATATGCAAAACTTTAAGTGCAGTCAGCCTAAAACCAGCATTTACGTCTCTCTTAGTTTGAGCCTCATACGGTAGGGTAGAATTTCTAAACAGTCTTATAAACATCTGAACCGCACGTCATATACTACCCAAATACGTGGATATTTTCTGTCTACACTGACTTGGCAATATAAACATGTGTATGACCGGTAGGATATTTTTGTTTCCAATTCAAAAATCTATGTAGCCTGTATTGGACAGCTAAATGTTTAAGAATTTACATTTTTGATTGTTACAGGATAGTTCCGAAGAATCAGACCACGAAAATCAACTTAATGACAACGCTTCGGAACAACAGGAAACAGAAAACGATTCAGATAACTCACCTAGCCAAAATTCTTTGAAAAGAAGACTTCAAGATATCCGATCCTCTTCTAATAGTCCTAATAATAATGGTTCTCGGCAAGATGATGGTAGTGAGACGGGTGACAATGGGTCACAATTAGATGATATGGCCAATTCTAATGATAATGAAGGCCATAGAAGTAATACTGACGATGTAGAGGATGATTTGGCACATGAACCGGACGAAACAAGAATATATGTTGATTTTCCACTGATTCGTGCGGATTTAGGCAGGTACAGACTTTTTGGCATTAAAAAGTAATCAAATATAATGTAGCTGTAGTAGAGTACTTTCTGAGAATAAACGGATTTGTCACTTCTGGGGTTTTCGTTGTATAGTGATGGAAATTAATTATTTTTTCAGCTGATTTTAATCGTAATGACCTTAGCTGGATTTTCGAATAAACATATACATGAATTATCCAAAGCTACTAATTTTTAAAGCCATATAGTGTAACCTTACACATGTCATTCAGTCTAAAACCATCTTAAAGATATTTTAATCGTCCATACGGTGTGTTCTTAACCACTCGCTCAACTGTGCTAATTATAACCACACGATAAAGATTTAAAACTAGGTAGCGTGACTCCAAATCGGTTAAAGTGGTGTAGATCCATCTTTAATTCTCAGCTCCAATATTATGTCGTGTTCTTTGTTCCTTAGATCCTTTTTAAACATTTTTAGACCGCATTTTGTTTACTCCTTTTTGCAATTATAGTGAAGACAACTATTACTACTTTGGCGTTTATCTTGCTAATTTAATCTCTGTACTAGCGTGATGTATCAACCAATACACATTTTCTTCAGGCCTTACGTTATGGCTAACTGACTATGTTTCATGCTTCAAAATCATTCACAGTGACCCATTTGCATTCACTCTTCATCTTCCTCTAAATCCTAATTTTATTATGGTTCCACTCATAGTTTTCCTTGATTTTATCGAATCCTTTTGGGTTGTACTTGTGTGTCCAACTACTGACTCGACACTGCAAAATTGAAAACTTAGAACGATCTGTATGTAATCGGTCTTAAATACCTGTAACTTGGGTTTTATAGTGAGGTTACCAGGTTGGTAAAACCACCATTATTAACGTAGTTTTTTGTTTTGGTCCATCAGGAAGTAGTATGCTTTTTACGCAATAGAAGTTGTGGCCGGATATTTAAAGTAGTTGACTTAGAACCATTAATGTAAAAACTGAAACTTCATTGAGTCTAATTCGGTTTGGCTTTTCAGGTAGGATTACTAGTCTCCTCAAAATTAGACTGAAGCGAGTCTGTGTAATTTATGAATTCCAGACATAAAATAACAGGCAAATATAGGCTTTCTGGATGTCTTCTACAGAACTCAAATTCTTCCAGCTCATCGTCGGCCTTCTTCGTTTTGTAGATTTTCCGAAAAGAATCAGTCAGATTCAAGTCTAGTCATAGATGAATTGACCCATTTTATAAGAACGGATCGAAATTCTTTTGATAAATCAGCTCAGACGCAATAACTTTTAAGACCTCGATCTCTATAATCATTTTATGTTTAACTGGAGCTTGAGAACACCAGGCCAAAGAAAATCAGGTAGATATGAGATGGGACCGCAAATGAATCGATGGAGTAATAACTCTGTAACAAAAGCATATTTTCTGACGTGAAGCTGTAACTGAATTCTTTGACCTAAAGCCATCATCTATTTCGGTAAATAAATGTGACTTACCTTTAGATATGAGTTTTTAGTTAGCAGTTTGTAATTTTAGTCGTAATTTAGGGATTTATTATCTCAAAAAAATCCTTGTCTTAATAGCAGAGAGACCAGTCACATGCAAAAATATTTCGGAAGAATGTTAAGTGAAAAATAATTATTTTTTACACATTCTGAATTTCTTTATATTATCTAACTTTATTTTTAATGATCCTTGTGAATAAAAAGTAAAAACCTCATCCAACGAGCAGATCTTGCTTACCTCAAAACTAATTGTATTTGTTTTTCGATTAGGGAGGTACATCTGGTAAAAATGCCTAATTTTTTGTCGGTTGAAACTCGTCCGTTCGACCCTAACTTTTACGAAGATGAACTGGATGAAGATGAAATTTTAGATGAAGAAGGACGAACACGTTTGAAACTAAAAGTATGATTCCTTTTGTTAACTCTATAAATCATTATTTTGATAAATTTCTTCCTCAACTTCGCATATGTAAATAAGACTCATTTAACAGTATCTCACTTATTTTTTCAGACAGCGGTGTACTAAAATGAGTATGATTTGTATCATCTAGGTAGAACAGCTCATAATGTGCGATATGTAAGGTCTAAGTTTGGAGTACGGAAAATATGATATACTCAGTAATTAGGTCTTGGTAGTTTTTAGTAAATACGAATGTTAATAGCTATATCACAAAATTTCAGTGAACCGTCCTTTGGGAGAGTTACCAAACACCATAATAAAAGACGCAACGGACCAATAGCATTTAAGATATTTCCCAGTGGGAAATACGACATGAAGGTGACAAAGAAATTCAAATTTTCTAAATAAAATTACAAAATTAGGTCCTTTCTCAAGTCAGTTCTGCGGATCTAACGTCTCCAACACTTCGAATCAACACCTAATCGTAAAACTGATAAATCCCTCTCTAGTGTTAAGTCTTAAAATTTCTATCTAACATTCTCGAATAAGTAAAGTATAATCTCTGCTTACAAAGTACAATTTGTTACTATGTTTTCATCTCATTATATAAAGTGTAAGTCAACAACAAAAGCTCTCATATTAGCTCATTTATGTGTTCCTTTTTATACTGAAACAAATCGTATTAATTTATTACTTTACTGCATTTGGAAATTTGATAGGATTTCTATCCAAACATATTTATGTCTGCAACTACATGAGTGCGTTTTCATAGAGATCTTTTAATAATTTAGGTCGAAAATACTATACGTTGGAGGATTGGTAAGACACCTGATGGTGAAATGATTCACGAATCAAATGCTCGTATTGTTCGTTGGTCGGATGGTTCTCTGTCGCTACATCTTGGGGACGAAATTTTCGACATACACAAAGTAGATATTCAGTCAGACTATAATTATCTGTTCATACGAGAAGGTAGTGGTTTACAAGGACAGTCAAGTTTAAAAACCAAATTAACATTCAGGTTTGTGTGTAATCGTATAATTCGTTCTTTTACTTTGAATTAATCTTATTTTTGGACACCGACAAAAAGGATCCTTATTGGTTTGATCTTTTCAAAATTTGACTTAAGAATTTATGACGCGTTTAATATCGGTCAGTGCAAATGGCTGTTGCCTTGATAAGAAGGCTGAAGTTGCTCATCTATGGTGGAAGCCCTTTTCTATCTAAATGATCTCAACTCACTGACTGCCAGATTGAATGCTACTACTGACTACGAATTCTGAACCAGCCTTTCTAAAACCACGTGTGCCATTCAAACAGGTTTTCTTCGACGTCAACACACTAATGCAGGTCGGACAACAGATAGGGTTGGCCTTGTCCTTAGAAAGTCCCAATATAGATGTCTATTGTTGTATTGTATATTGTGTCGTGCATATATATTCTGGTGCCTCATTGTACTAATGCTTAGGTTTTCAAATAAATAAATAAAAAGAATTTAATGCTTCAATATATTAAAGAACACTTTTGCTCAGATCAACGCATTTTAAAACTGTCGAGTTATATAAGCTGAATAGTTTCATTTCCAAAGCTTTCACTGTCTTTCTGCACAAATAGAAGTAACCACTGATGTTGTGCACTAAAGCTTCTGACTATTCTATAGATAAGCTGTTTTTTTGATAATTCATCCCATTGATAGTCTAACTTATCAGACACTAAACATATAGAATTTATTCGTTATAACAACAGTGTACCTTCTTATTCGTAGCTTGTTCTTTAACTTTCTAACCGTAATATAAAAAAAATCCCAATTGGTTGAGTCTACATGAAGTGATCTCTTCCTTTACACAATAACAAGGTATACAAATATGTAATATTTTTTTTGGTAAGCCAACTAATGTGTTGACCCAAAAATTTTTTTAGAACAATTACCTGATGTTTAGTTTATTTGTCTTATCCGGCTAATGACATTTAATAAAAATAGGCAATAATTTAATCATAACAGAGATGAATTTTAAATTAGATACATTATTGTACAACTTGAACTAAAATTTTCTTATTTATTAACTTTATTTTATGATTGAAATAAACTTGTTAATGTATTTATATTTTTACAACATATAGGCCACATTCAACAGATTCATTTACGCATCGTAAAATCACATTATCACTAGCAGATAAGACAAATAAACTACAAAAGGTTAGTTCACTTATAATTTATAAAATTATTGCCTGTTTATGAAAATCTGTTAGTTTCGTATAGATATACCATTTATTATGGATCCTTTTTATCTTTGCTTGCATATTTTAAGTTTAAAATTCATGATTTATAATCCAATATTCTTAGTTGAAATTCTTTTTGATGTTATTCGAAGTTGGATGGCAATAACACACAAGAGCCAAGTTTTGTAACATTTAGGCTTCTCGAATTGTGTGGATTTGCATCTAGAATTTTCGTGTTCCCACTGAAGCCTATATGCAACACCCGTTGATTGAAACCCGATGGTTATCTTACAGGTTATTTAATTACTCTGGCCAACTGATATGCGAATTGTATTGGATTTCGATAACTTGATGCATCCTATTATCAATCTACTAGACAAAATTGGTTAGCCACTATTTTCACAGAGCATTTTTTACGACCCTTAATTTCTTATGAGATTACATATTAGTACCACGATTCAGGTTGCTTCGTCCTTAACAATTCTAAATAAAATAAGATTTGATATCTAGATTTTATTGTTAGCAATTACCAGACAATATCTTAATTTTGTTCTCAACGATTTTCATATATCAATACAAAGAATGTTGTTGAGTTATGTGGTAACTTAACCTGATGCAAAATGTGCCTTTTTAACCAGTGAAACCTCGGGTTCGAAAACTATTGCACTTCGGTTTGGACAACCGAGTAGTATCACTAGCCTTGACAATAAAAGTTTGATTTAAAGCTGTGAATATGAATTTGTATTGGGTAAATCATTTATATTATTATACGTACTCGTACTTAACATATCTTAGTATGTATCCCAACTTAGAACAAAAGTCTCAAGGCAGTATGGAGAAGCAATCGGTGGTTGGAAACAGATTAAAATCGACTCATGTTCACAAACTACTGAAATGTATAGACGAATCTGTGATATACACTTGTTAATTGAGTGTTGTTTCGGTCACTTATCCGTTTGAACTGTGATCGATGAAGCTATGACGAAAATTCGAAATCTACGGTTAAACTGACAGTGTTTCTTTTTCTCGAGTTTAATATCTTATCTACTACACACTTCGTTTTTTCTGTTACTTATTGTACTTCCAAAGTTTCTTACTCTATATATTATCTCAACTTAGGTCAAAATTCTTCCTGTTACGGGTGCTGATCCAGAATCAAATCGTAATGTGCTTGTGAGGAAAGAGGAGGAGAAATTGCGTGCTACACTCAGGCGCGAAAGTCAGTTACGGCGTATGCGTGAAAAGCAGGCCATGTCAAGAAGTAGTTTTGGTAGTGAACGTAGGCGAAGTTACGGAGAGGATGATGATGAGGATGATGGTAATACAACATCTCTAAATGCATTAAAAAGAAATGCGAAAAACTCATTGTTGGCTGCACGTAAAGGTAAATTAAATTTTAGAATTACTTTGTTGGCATTCCTCATAAAAAATATGTCAGCCCATCTATTCGGAGATTTACTTTACTGAGAACACAGGTAAAAATTTCAGAGTGCCTATAAAATGGTGCGTAATCTACCTAATAGCTCATATATATGATAATGTTTATTAATGATCGATTACAAGACTAAGATCACGTTAGGTAAACACACGTCATTGCTTTTCCTGTGATCTCGTTCTATTAAATATTCCACTCGCGTAATCTGTATCCTCATTCTCATATCAACAAACAGGCTATATTTCTCATAATGACTGTTTAATATTCCATGCTCTTAATTTTTGGAAGTTTTTCTACTTTTTCTGTCGTATTAAGTAATACTTTTTGTATTGTTTTTCAATCACTTCAGATGTTGCTGCAATTTATTCATCTGATGAGGAATCTCTAAGTGATGTAAGTTGTAATAACTGAAGTAATACACTATGGTAATATCTACATATCTTTCATCCGATTGGTTTAACTATGAAATATCACATGCAAATGTATGTAGAACTTGGTTGTTATTAGTGAAGGTAATTCAACATGTAAATAAAATATGATTTTAAACAGATCGAGAAATGGATAGGTCAATTAAAATATTCTCAGTATAGTAATATTAAACTGACTTGGAATAAATTTATAGGCTGGATATACTAGATTTAGTTACAGAAAAATTAATTGTTTTCTCGTTGGAATTTTCACTTCAAATTGTTACTACTTCTTAGAATTAATGTAACTTTAATCCCACGAGAATCTGTACATTAGTGCTTCAAACAATTTATCTCCACCTATTTGGTCATTGATTCGAATCTTAGTTCTGATTACCTCATTGTAAAACGTTTCATATTATCTCTAAGCTTCATGTAGTTCGCTTAGCATGTTTATTTATTTATTTATTTATTTATTTGAACTCATAAATATTGGTATGAGTGCGCCAAATATATATGGGCCACACAAAACAATGAGAATTTAGAGAGAAGGGAAAAAAGGTATGGAGCGCAAAAACAGAACAATAACGAAGAGATTGGTGTAAGGTAGTGTAATAATAATAATAGTAATAACGGGGGAACGGAAAGGTACAATCAGAAGAAATCTTTCAGTTAAGGAAGATACAACCACTTTTTACGAAGAAACTACTTTTCTTGCTTCGCTAAGCATGTGTATAATTTCAGATCTTAGTTAAGAAGACGGAAGGAATATTTGGGAATAAAGTGTATGTATTTTTTGTTCTTAACAAGCATTCTGCATTCCAACGAGGGTGTCTTATTTTTCTTTTTACAGATATCAGAACCTCGATCACGTAAGAAAGTAAGAGCGAAAATAAGTGATGAAGAGGAAAGCGACTAAAATAAAATACTTTTCCACTGTTTTCATACGATAAATTGTACATAGTTTATTTATTAAAAAAATAAACAACTTTCCTTTATCATAAATTTTCTTTAGATTCTAAATGGAATATAGTAAAACATAACATATTATTTACCTTATTAGTTAGCTTCTCCAATTAGGTGTATCAACACGACTTAACCTTGTGCAATATACTTGAAAACATCACTGTTACATACAATAGTTATGGTTTAGAACAACTTTACCAGCATTATAGAAAAAATAATTTCATAAAGTTATAAAATAAGCAATGCATAAAGGTTGTTAGAATTTTTTAATGAGCCATGTTTTGACTACTTCCAACTAAATGACGGAAGCAAATTATCCGATAAAGTTGGAATACAGCCTATCTCGCTGTTGTTTGTAGAGTGATGTGTGTAGTTATTTTAGACAATGCTCATCGTAAATTCAACTTTCACAGCTGTTTTTACTTCTCATTTCATAAGGTGGAATTCCTCCTTTCATCATTTTATTATTCACTCATGTTTCCTTCCAACTTCTGTTTTTATCGATATGTTTAAAATCACTCAGATTCCAGCTAATACATCTTAAGCGTCCCTCCCCTATTATTTTCATTTTAGTCTTCGGTTTGCTTTCAGATAAGCTTAATAACTCGGACGAACAGATACTACAATGACTTTGTATTCACTAACCACGTTAATTACGAAATTGTATTTATAAACTTAAGTGTAATTCTTTGTCAGTTAGTAGTTTAGTCTTTTAATGAAGGAAATGAGATATTTTCACACTAGTTGTAAACAAGACAGAATTCTGATTTCGCTTAACGATCGTACGATAAGTTATAATGGATGATTAAAGTATACAATTACATGTTTGGAAATGCATTGAACAGTCAGGATTCCCGCTGGTAAACTCCGAAGTTAATAGTCAGTATATTCATAAAGAGAAGGTAAAAAGAAAAGATATTTTCATTTTCTTTTTAATATCACTTTTTATTGACTGTCGAATGTTAACAGTTGATTCGTATAAAGCATAACTCAAATAGTCTTATCATGACGCTTTTCATATTTAGGCAGCCATGTTTTTTATTTTCACATTTTACAATGACGTCAAGAATAATATGTGACACTGCTATAAAGCTTGTCAGTCTACAAAGAAATACAATTATAGCCAGATGTCAGAAAGTATTCCTGTGTTCTAAAACCTGATGAAGTGAGTATTTGATCGATTCATTCATGATCAAGTCTGAAACGATACTGGTTTTCGTAAGTTTACCATTCACAAGCTTCATATATGTGCATAAGTCGGTAGTTAAAAAAATGAGCTCATTAGCAATAATCGTTGATAATAATGGTGAACTTGTTTTTATCATCTTTCAGTTAAATTTTACGTGATGAACGGAATTTGTATTACTAGTGATATGATAAGACAAATCAACTAACATATGTTGTCATTCTATATCAGAGCTGACTAGTGGTGTTAATGAAATACTTTAAAGTTGTACTTTTTATCAGTCACTTGATTATTAACCCTTCCCCATTCAGTTAGTAAACGAAGAGATGAGAGAATAAAGTTAAAAATGCAACTGAACAAATGACAAAAGCAACCAAAAATATACTTCAACAAGTTAAAATATAAACAAACGGAAGTTGTGCAGATGAACGCAGTCAATAACAAATGATGAACTAGTATATGATCTTGCTTGAATCACACTGTCGAACAATGAAATAAACTCAGTTATAATTTTTGTTTATATCATTTAATAATGCATAGATTATATCATTGATGTCACGAAAAACAATATCATTTCCTATTGTTATGTTATTATGATTAGCAGTTGGATAGGTAACATCAAAATGATTAGTTACAGTATTTAGAGGATGAGGACCATACAGAGTACCTGGACTGTTTTTACCTTCAGATGTGGTCGGAAGATGACGTATTTTACTTCTTAGAATTTCGTATTCACTGCTTTGGTGTTTTTTATTTTCCATTACATCCAATCGTTTTAAATTAGGTAACGAATCACATTTAAAGTTTTGAATGTTAATATGCGTTTCTGAAAATTTTTTAATCATATCACTGATTGTTAAATTGTCCTTGCCTTCTGATAATGAAATATTAACCTGAAATAGAAACAATGTGAAATCGTTGAGGTTCATTCTTATTTTAAAACATTGTAATTACTTATGAAGCGAAATTAACTAGTAGTGAATAGGATGCTGTGGATAATCTTTTGAATGGCATCCAGACATTATAACAATGATTACTATATTCAGAAGTCTAAAAAAAGAAAGGGAGTGAATAGTTGAGCTACAAACAGATAAAAGTGCGCAACTCACTATGCACATTAACGTAATCTTTTGTAATAACATGATGATTGTTTACTAAATGACTAAAACAGTCAGCGTTGGATTAGAATGGAAGGTCATCTCTCATTCTATCAGAACATTTATATCTATACTCCCATTTCCGTCACTTTTTTCGAATGAAATATTTCAAATTAATTAGATAAGGTTACTCTTTATATAGATTGCTGGTAGATAACTTGAGTAGCTCTGATAATTCTGGGTAAATATGTTCTGACTACAACATTTTGTGGCATATTGGGAAGTTGTTTACAGTTGTAAATATTTAATAACATTGTATGTAATGAAGTTTGTCTCTACAGTTATCAAATAATCTACCATACGTCATCTAAGAGGGAATTCTCAATGAAGTATACCAGTCATACTGTGGTGTGTTCTGCTTATATCAACATAAGTATAATATAACACTAGTCAGGAATAGAATGTCTGGTAGCAGATGGTTGAGAAGATCGAGGAGGAAAGAACGGCAACAGAAAGCAATTGGTATGGAAATGCTGGCACAATGAAGTCTGAGACAATTAATGAACATTTTGCGAATGAAGTATTGGAGTATGGTTTTTCTAGTTTACAAGTAACTATAATTTTTTGCTTAATATAATTGGTTGTCCTCACCTATGTTCGCCTTCACTACATTACTTCTAAATCGTTCCAAATTTCGTTTCTAGTATACACAGCGGTAACATTTTGGATATATTTCATTTCCAGTTCTACTGCTATACCATATAAATGCACTGCATACTTTTTTTACCTATCTATCATATAAATATCTAATATAATTTTTTATTGGCACAAACGTGTAGGAACTTCCATTCGTTTGTCATTGACTGTGATAAAATAATTCCAATATTAATATAGTTCATTCACCAGGTATAAGTTTATTTAATTGTCTTTTTATCACACAGTTTGTGTGAGGACTAGTGATGTTTATCCGAATGGAAGTAGGTACAGTGGAGTTCGGTCCTACGATTTCGTAGCTGTAAACTGAGTATTTTAAGCACTAGACTACCGTCCTATATCACTTTTGTTAATAAATAAACGTGTTACGAAATGTCTTGGACATTATAAAAAGCAATCAAAAACGGTAACTGGATTTTGACTGCTGAATTACGAACGACTTGGGGCTAACTCACTTTACACGGTTGGTAGACTGACATGGAATCAATGTCGTCAGTTGTATTTGAAGGGAGATGATATTTCCATATTTCTGTACTTGAACTGTTTATTTGTTTGATTGGATTGTACACACTTGTGTTGTTATCGTCTTTGTAAGCTTGAAACGAATACTGTTCGCGGGGTTTGTTGAAATTATTGGTACTTAAAACTTGTGTTAGTTTTGGATTTGTGATTGAGGAATAATTATATCTAAAATTGTTTTGTTTTACCGAGCTCGTGTTTGATAAAAATATAGGAATAGTGATGTTATTTTCTGCAGTGGTAAAAACAATCGATCCATATCTATTACTCACAGGCTGTTCACTAATTACTTTCATATCTTTAGGATCGTCATCAACCCGATTATAAAGTTCTACTGTCATAGGACGAGGACGTGCCCCAACACCGAATGGTTGACGTAATCCTAGTGCCTTTTCTTCATTGGTCAAAACATTGACCAAACACTTTAAAACTGCCTACGTTAGATAAAGTAATAATGTATAAATATAATAACGCAAAAAGTTTATTATCAGTTAAGCAACTTGTAACTTCAGAGGTATTTTTTGAGAACTTACGGTCTTAATATACTGTCTCATTTATGGTTTATGAATTTTTAGACCAAACGCAAGGCGATTTCTTTCCAACAACTTTCTCCCTTCTTGATGAAAACATTTCTAAATTCAGACTAGATAATAATCAGACCTCAGCATGAGACTGTGTAGCAAACATCTCTTTAAATTAGCAGTCTCTCAACAGATCTAAAGACGACAATTCATTTGTTGAGGCGTTTCAGCTAACCACTTTACTCAAATACATGACACGATATCCTTTTACATAAAGTTTTAGATCTGTAACTAATATAAGCTCAGAAAAATAATTAAATTTATAGAATTTCTTTAAACACGTTAGGGCAGGTTAGCAGTATAAACTGCAATAAAATAATCTCAATAACTGTAATAACTCATAAGTGAGATTATTTGTTTTCCTATGTCAATCACACTATGAGTCTGTAAAGCAAAACTTATACCATGTAATTCTGTGGAAACTAAAAAGTTCAATTAATGCAGCAATTTAGAGAAGAAATAGTCTGAGTAAGAAAGTTATGATTCAATCCCTATAACTTCAAAGTATTTTTCGAAATAGTTTTCTACTGGGTAACAAGGATGTGAAACGAACAACTGAATTGATTCGATAGCCATCGTGATTGGAAACTGTAGTAGGTTGCTGATTACCTTGCAGAGAATAAGTAGATTAGTAGCACAGATAAAAAACAAAAAATACTAATAATATTTGACAGTTGGGTGAAGATTACTGTAGGATCATCCCCAATCTTTTGGACAAAAAAGTAGTCTGTCTGTTGTATTTCACATAACTGATTAGGGATTACTGAATCTTGTGAGTTAGTTGAAGTTAGGTACACCATAGGATTATCTCTCAGTAGCCAAGTGTTTGCATGCGAGACAAAAGGTCCTGGGTCTG